TTAGTGGAGACGGGGTTTCACCATGTTAGCCAGGATGGTCTCGATCTCCTGACCTCGTGATCCGCCCGTCTCGGCCTCCCAAAGTGCAGGGATTACAGGCTTGAGCCAGCGCGCCCGGCCTTTTTTTTTTTTTTTGAAATGGAGTTTCGCTCTTGTTGCCCATGCTGGAGTGCAATGGCACGATCTCAGCTCACTGCAGCCTCTGCCTCCAGGGATCAAGTAATTCTCCAGCCTCAGCCTCCCGAGTAGATGGGATTACAGGTGCACACCATCACGCCTGGCTAATTTTTGTATTTTTAGTAGAGATGGGGTCTCACCATGTTAGTCAGGCTGGTCTCGAACTCCTGACCTCAGGTGATCCACCCGCCTCAGCCTCCCAAAGTGCTGGGATTACAGGTGTGAGCCACTGCACAGGTGTTCATTCCAGGGCTGTGCCACTCCAAAGCTGGGTCTTTGACCATTATGCCACCCTGCCTCCCATTTTCTGACTGTCTTCTCTTCTTGCTGTTCCATCTTGCTTTTCCCTTTAACATCCAAGGCTGCACCTCCTTACCCCAGTTTATCCCCTGTATAAATAAACCCCCCGTCCACTTTGTCCAGCGGAGCCAGCAGCTTTGCATAGTGGCTCAAATGTCTCAAGTAATCCTTGGAAGCATCACTGCCAAACATATAGAGAGAAACCATTTCTGGCACTAAGCTAAGTGTGATCATGTTAAACAAACATTTACTAAGCACCTATTGTATTTATTATGTGCCAGACCTAGAGCCCTAGAGGTATAAAGATGAAGAAGACCCAGCCCCTGTTCTCAGGGAACTCGTGGTCTAGCCAGAACAGGGGACATGGAAAACAAATAACTATGATGTCTTCACATTTGCAAAGCATGTCAGGGACTCGCACACCTGTGTGTTCTGACCCTTACACCCAGCCGACAGGTAGGGCAAGGTCATCATCCCCATGTTCCGGATGAGGAAGCCTCTAGAGAGGAAGTGACTCACCCAAGGCCACCAGGCTGGTATGGGGCAGGCCTAACACTGGAAGCCCAGCCTCCCAGGAACCAGCAGGGGCTCCCCAGGCCTCTTTTGCAGAAGCATCCATTCTCACTCTTTTTTAAATTTCTTTTTAAATAGGGACGGGGTCCCACTATGTTGCCCAGGCTGGTCTCCTGTGCTCAAGCGACCTCCCACCTTGGCTTCTCAAAGTTCTGGGATTACGGGCGTGATCCACTACGCCTGGCCCCATTCTCACTCTTGCCTCCTCCCTTAGGCACCTATCCTAGCCCACAGAGCTATGACAGCTGGAACTACTCAGAACTAGACCCAGAGCGATTCCGCAGAGAAGAATTAATGTTACACAGAAGAAGACTGATAAAGGGTAAGTTAGCAGTTACAGCCTCCCGCCTTCTTTGCTGCTGCCATACCCAACCACTATCTAACTGAGGGAGGAGAGGCCTTGGCATTGTTGTCCTCTGGTCAGGTTCTCTCTTGGGTACCCCCAAACTAGCCACCAAAATTCTTTGTGCTTGTGGACTGTAGTGTACAACATAATCATTGGGAGGCAGGGGATGGAATTTTGTATTGGAATAGTGGATGCCAGATGATGAGTGTCTACCTATGTGCAAGGCACTGTGATGAGCTCTCTGCCTCTTTTTTTTTTTTTTTTTTTTTTGAGATAGAGTCTCACTCTGTCACCCAGGCTGGAGTGTGGTGGCGTGATCTTGGTTTACTGCAACCTCCGCCTCCCGGGTTCAAGCAATTCTCCTGCCTCATCCTCCCGAGTAGCTGGGATTATAGACACCCGCCACCAAGCCCAGCTAATTTTTGTATTTTTAGTAGAGATGGGGTTTCCCCATGTTGGCTGGGCTGGTCTTGAACTCCTGACCTCAAATGATCCACCTGCCTCGGCCTCCCAAAGTGCTGGGATTACAGACGTGAGCCCCCGTGCCTGGCCAGCCCATTTTATTTAATCCTCACGACAGCCTGCTGAAGTACACACTAAATCCAATTCACAGATGAGGAAACTAAAGCTCAGAGAAGCGACTTGTCCAAGGTCAGCTTTTCTGTTGCACTCAGCAGACACATGATGAGCTCTGGGTGCCAGGTACTCTGCTCAGCACTGGCAACACGGTGGTGGTGGCAAGCCCAGTCCCTCTGTTGCAGGGCCAAGGAACCCCAGAATTGGGGCTTCTGCCTGGAAAGGTTCAAGGCGTTGCCCAGGAAGGAATTCAAGGATGAGCTGGGGGTAGAACAAAGTGTCTCACCTTGACTATGGCAGCCCTCTGACTGCTTCTGCAGAGTAGGGCTACCCCATAAGCAGTGTGTTGAGAACAAGAGCTCAGGGCCAGTTCTGCAGGCTCATTTATACCCATGTTTAATTACAGGCAAATTAAGGGGCAGGTTATTCAGAAATTTCTGGAAAAAGGGGTGGTAAATTCCAGGTCCGGTCATTGCTAGGGAATGATAAACTGACTTGATGCCTGGTGGGCATGTCTTAGGGAGCTAGTCTTCAATTAGGTCTGGAGTAGAGTTCCACCTCCAACCTCACCTCCTTATGATCTGGTGGGAAATTCAGGCCACACAATTGTCCTGCAAGGGATTGGGCACTGCACTGGAGGGATTCAGTCCAGCCCTGAGAAGGCCAGTACGTGGCGTTTGAGTTGAGATTCGAAGGGTGTGTTGGTCCAAGGACCTGCAGCATCAGTATCTCTCCAAATCTACTGACTCCGACTCTGCAGGTGATCAGGAGGACTTCCAGTGATCTAGAAGCACGTTCTAGTTTGAGAAGCCCTGGTTTAGGGCACAAAGGAAGAGAATACCTGAAACCCTTGGAGCAGAGCACGGTGGTGGTTACTAGCTGGAGATGATAAGCTGGCACTCACTCAGGGCCAGACGCTTTTTGGTTTTTTTTTGAGACAGACTCTCGCTCTGTCGCCCAGGCTGGAGTGCAATGGCATGATCTCGGCTCACTGCAACCTCCGCCTCCCAGGTTCAGGTGATCCTCCTGCCTCAGCCTCCCAACACTTTTACCTGTTAGCTCTCTAAGCATTTCCATTTCTTGATCCCTTCATAGATATGATTTCCCAGTAGTCATCATGTACACTCAGGGAGTTTTTTTTTCCTCTTCTTTTCTTTTCCTTCCTTCCTTCCTTCCTTTCTTT